TGCAGCGACGGTGACAAATATCTATATAATTGACTACGTTTCCGATGAAACGTTCAGCGTGTGACATTCTAGAAGAATTTTAACCAAATAAATTCAATTCTGCCTCCTTATTCACTCATTGCCACTGCCAGTAAAATCACACTTACACGTGAAAGTGATCCATAACATCGCTAATCTCACTGATTTCATACTCATCTTATAAAAATGGCCTTTTAAATACGATAAAAACCCATCGAATTCTATACAAATGGCTGAGATAATGTAGCATAAGCAAACCTGTGAAAGGATCCAGTTCATAACGTTGTCTTTTTCCTTCAATTTCCCACTCATAATGGCTCTCTGCAGTTTCGGGGTTGCTTTCATCACCTCACTCACGACGGTCTCTTCGAAGTGTAACGGACTTATCTTTAAAACATTACCACATTATGGCAATTGTTCATGATCACTGATCTATTCAAGAAAAAAAATTTTCTTCTTCATAAGAAATAAATTCTTCTCCACAAAACTGATAAACTGAAACGACACTTACCGCAGCATCGTCCAATACCACTCCGTTCAAGAGAACTTTCGGTGCTGCGCCCAAACCGCTCGACTTCAAAAACGATAGACCAACGGAACGTCCTTGATCATAGTCAGAATCCTCATTGAACACATCGTTGGAATCTTGATCTGGGTACTTCTCCAAGAAATGATTTATCACTGTTTTTGGCGTTAAGAATCCGTCACCTTCCACATCGTCCCATACCTAAACATCATTCACTACATACAGCAATAACATCATTCTAATCACCCTTACAACTTCAATAAAAAATCCCAAAAATCAAAACAAAAAGGCCAACTAGCGAACGCCTTTCCAAACACAGATCTTAAAAATTTAACTTCTTAAACAAATCTGCATATTCGAAAAAAAGAAAGCAGATTTCTCCGCTATGATCAGATCTGAATGTANTGATCGATTTTAACGAAGTTATAATAGTTAAGCATCGCAACTGATGCGTCTTGGAAGCCCGATATTGATTTGTCGTCATTCACAACGAACACAACGCCTAACCTAGAATTACAAAATATGAGAATTAATCTAAAAATAGCGCAACTCGTGCAACAATCCAGGATACATACTACCAACAGCGGAAAAATTTTCAAAAACGACAGGCAAAAAGTTGCTGTCGAATTGAATTCGACCAACAATACGCTTGAAAACAACTAGTACGGATCACGTTTCCTCAATTAATTCTTCCGGACTTCACGAAAAGCCCGAACCAAATACGATTCATTCATATGAGGAAAACCCGGGCAATAGTGTACTACTGATAGCCTATCATCCGCATATAACAACCGACTACGTCTGAATAATACGCTATACAAAACCGAAAATCGGACAAAGTCAATCATCCGATCCAACTGAAAAGCGAAAACGCACCTCAACGGTATACCATGCGAATAGAATGTCGACGCATATTTCAACAGATTTTTGCTCTCTTTTTGCGATGGATCCACAACAAATATCTGAAAATTCAATACAATTATGACACAGCCATAGCATCCTAACATCAAAACTGTAAAATGAAATGAAGTTAT